TGGGGCACCTTTCTCTGGCTCCGGTGGCTACATACACTCTGTGCGACTAGTGTAAGACAGCATTTCAACCGTTTGCGTGCAGGACATACAGGCATGGTTCAAGACGAGAGGAAAAAAAATAAAAAAAAAAAGGTTTGAACACGCAGAGACGTCAGGGAAAGGGAAGCGGGCGAAGTGGTCTCCAACTTTCTTTAAATCCGTCTACCTATCGAAAGGAAAGGAAGATGATTATATTAAACGAGCGTCACTTTTCCATCGACCTCCAAGGCCTATCGAAACCGAAACCTACCTTTCCTCTAGGAGAAGGCCGTGTCCGAGGCTGGTATGGTATTCACCGAATTATTTGGTGAAAGACTATTGCCTTGATATATGTACATGCGCACACGTACACGTTTACATACTCTTATTATTACTTTCGCTAAAAGTTTAAAGCAATTCCGAGCGATTTCTTACGATCATTTCCTGTGTAACGACCAGTGTAACAACCTTTCTTTCACGAATTCGACGATAAGCGAGTTTCCCATTCGCTTTTATCATTTACTAATGATTCTCTGATTCTTAGATTAACTAATTTTACTCTCTTATCTCTTACATGCGTAATAATGATACTTTATTATTATTATTTATATTTAAATTCTATTTAATTTTTCAATATTTTAACTTCAATTAAAAATATTAAAATGAATATATTTATTACTAAATTGAATTAAAATCCATTTGACTATATTTTTTTTAATTTCTATATATCTTGTTTTAGATTAGCTACGATTACGTGTTTCTTTTTTTCTTAATAGAGACAATCAGAAATTTTCCAACAATTTTATATTGTGATGTGAAAACATCGCGTGCACTCTTTTCCGTAAATCACGTTCAGTTGCTGTGAAAGGTAGAAATCTAGAATATCAGTTAAATAAGGATGACCTGGTAAAACCCTTAGTTGCAAAAGCTCTGATGATGTAAAGTTCTCATACTTGCGTAACGTGAATTCCAGATTAATCTATCTTACGATTCGTAAGATGGATTTGTTCGAAATGATTCCTCGTAGACTTTTTGATCCTTCTCAATATTCACTTTTGAACTTTAATATTTAACAACCATTCGACAATTTGTCCAATGAATTTTGGAAAATTAGACGAGAAGTAGAGTCAGAGTACATTGACATTTAACGATTTCGATGGACCAGGTAACCACCGGGATAAGTATTTAGCAAATATCCACGCACCAACGGGATTCGACGTTTCGCTCGTCCTACTTGAAAACTTTCACTTATGTTGGCGTAAGAGGTCCAAACAACGACCAAGAGAATCGAACAAGATGAGCAAAGAATGGTCAGTGATTTCCAATTGTGTAAAGATATATCTTTTATGGATGTTATTCACCTGGAAAAAAAATTTGTATTTCTGAATTTTTATCGAGAATAAAGTAAAATGCTATTGCTTTTTTTTTTTAATAAAATTTATAAATTAGACGAGATCGTTCAAAATTAATTATTTTGCTTAAAACAAAAACGTATAAACAAAGTAGATGTAAAAAAACAGCTTTATTAGAGCATTTAGTAATAATTGCGACAGCAGCTTGTGAAACAACATTTAAGAAACGATTGCAGGAATCTTAGTTGCTTAGTTTCTCATGAAAGTCTAGGGATATAGAATGGCAGATGATACAGTTCTCCTTCTACAATCGTATATATATAATAGTTCGTGACTATATAGCTCTTGGAGAGCAGTGTGCTCATGAGCAATAACGTAACTGTTGAAGAGTGAAAGTGCCGTAAAGTGGGACATAGCAAGAAGAGCATCTGATCTTTTAATTAATAAATAAAGCAAACAAACAATTCTCATTTCCTTTGTCTTTTGTATTGAAGCAGCGGAAGATATTCGCTGTTTCATAAGATTTTGCGGATGACATATTAAAATTTTATATGACTTTGTGAGAAAATTCTTTCGATTTGATCGTTTCCTGAGTTCGTTTAGTGGATATTTTGATTAGAAATAAAAACTAAATAAATTATCTTTTTGCGTCTGGCAAAGTTTTTCTTATTATCGTTAACTTTCTTTTGAATAAAGTTCGTTATATCGGCCATATCATTGGCACCTATGCATATCCTCATAACTACGTTATATAATTAGACAGCATATGCGGGATTAAACAAAAAGAAATAGGCAGCGTCATATTCACTGGACTTTCTATTTTCTTTGTGAAGAGTTAATTTTTAAATTTTATATATATATATATACATATATAAAATATATGTAATTCGATAATTTATAATTAATAAATAAATATTATCACGTTGATTATATATAATTATATATGTATATACAATACCTAATGATAATAAATTGTTAATCGAGAATCAATCAATTACAAATAAACTTTGATATTGATAAATGATATTAATTTAGTAACGTTTTTTTTATAAGAAAATTAAAACCACGTGGAACGATCAGTTAAATTTACGCGGCTATTTCATTGCAATAATGGCTGCACCTACAGACATTCGGTGCACATGTAAAGTTTGTACTAGAATTCGTGTCACGATTGACCAAATATTTTGTGTTCTAGATCTATATGGTTGGTTATTAAATTCTTATATTGTGGTATGTAAATAATATTAAAAATAAATCTCATACCAGCATGTTGTATTCGAATACCATGTTGTTTTTTCTGATGTATAGTAATTCGATGTAGATGTGTATTGTCCATTATAAAGTATATTGTTAAGTGATAATTTTATTAACTAAACTATATAGACTGTCTTTTTTAAATATAGGATTTTTTTCAAGACAAATTATGGGACAAATTACCAGAAAGTTGGAGGTTTGCATTACAAGATACGCCTCCACAAGAATTTGGAAAATGGTTATCGGGAGACATCTCGTGGTGAATATTAACACTATGTTGTTCGAACTTAATATGTGTTCCATATAGCATTATATATATGTATAGTTTTTAAATTGTGTTACAGCACACGTGTATGGCCCTTAACATTGCTTGCACTTCGCCAAGTAGCAAATATTTTACAAGTAAATAGAGATAATGAAGATCCAAAAAGTATTATGGCTTGTGAATCTAATAAAACGAAAACCAATAATAATTATAATGATACTTTTACAATGAATAAAAATGATAATTTTGATAAGCTATATTTTCAAAATCACAAATTTAATAACTTATTTTCAAAACATATTAAAAAAAAAAAAAGATATGAGATACATGAAATAGCACAAGTATGCGCAGAATGTGCCTATGAAGCTAGTTGTAAATGTATTGTTGACATTGGATCTGGAATGGGTCATTTAGCTCGTATTTTAGCTTTTCAATATGGATTGTATGTTACTTGTATTGAACAAGATTGTATATTGTTGCAACAAGCTAGGTATATAAATGATTATGATATAATAGTATATATAATTGATGATAATGATGATTTTGTTTCAGAAAATGGGATCAAGAATTATTGATGTCTATAAGAAAGCATATACCTACTTTCTATCAAAAATGTCCTCAACACTTTACAGCTAAACTAGAACCTTCAAATTTAGTCGAATCAGAATTAATTAGACAATTAAAAGAATTATTTAAGAATGAATTTGATCTAAATGAAACAGAAACTGAATTTGGACTTATAGGACTCCATCCTTGTGGGGATTTAGCTCCTATATTATTAAAGCTTTACTCATCTAGAAATGAAGCCAAATTTATTTGTATTGTAGGATGTTGTTACATGAAATTAACAATACAGTTCGTATATATTATATTTATATCAGAATAGTTTTTATTAAAAATTATTATATTATATAATAACACATATAGTTAATTTTTAGATCAGAAATAAACGGATTAAAAGGTTATCCACTTAGCAAGTACCTGTTGTGTAAAAATCATTCACTAACTTATACATCATTAGAAGTAGCTTGCCATGCTATCGAGAAATATTGTGATAAATTAAAGAATGGAAATTATGAAGATTTAATAGTTGAGTGAATTAGTAAAAATACATATATTTGAATAAGTATTATTAATTTTTTTGTTTGTTTTAGGTACATACTTATAGAGCAGCTTTAGAAACTATTTTAGTAAAAAAAAATGAAAAATTACGTCATAGCCAATTCAGAAATGTTAAAGTATCAAAAGGAATGTCATTTGAACAGTTAAGTGATTGATATTTGATAAATAAACGTCAAACGTTAAATAGTACGAAACGGAAAAATATATAGAAATATCTTATATTTTTTTAGGTATTGCAATGCAGCTACTGCAAATTTTGATAGTTATTTGCAACCACAAGATTCTGATATTAATGATTCAGAAATTATTGGTTTTTTAAAACGATGGCAACAAGTTATAGTGTTTGGATCACTTCGAATGATGTTGGCGCCATTAGTGGAAACCATTGTGCTTTATGACAGATTTTTATTTCTGTCGGAAAAAAATTTGACACCAACACTAAAACCAGTGTTCGATAGTAGACTGTCACCACGAAATTTAGTGTTAATGTCTAGGAAAAATAACTAATTAGTTTACAGTTTTTAATTATTTACCGATAAATCCTGCCCACCTCTTCCATCTTTAATCAATGTAAAGATTTTTACAATTGCACTTCCCGCGTCCATGAATCAAAGTCGTTCCAGATCACGATGTGCCTTTGATTGGACAATATCATTTAATTGTTGTTGCCAATGAATAATATATTTTAGTTTTCTATTCTTCGATCTACAATCATAACGATTTTTAAAAACTGTACTGGAAAACATTATTATGTTTTATAATTGTTCTTTTGACTCATTATTTAATGATAATTTTACCGTTCGAACGCATGACGCGATCAACGATAGGCGGACCAATCCGGAAGTGGGGCAAATGATAGAAGCGCATGCGCGCGGTTCCGCCTTAAAGATTCGTCAGTATTCGAATCGTAGCGTCGGTAGATAGCGCTGCGGTGGCCGGCTACTTCGTTAGAGGCAGAGACGTTCCTCTCCAGCAACATCGAGATCCAGTTTCCCTTAAGCCGCTCTCGCGCGTTTGTCTGTTCTCGTCGCGTTCGCGTCGTGTCCTACCGATTATTTTCTCCTTCCTCCCCCCTCCCCGCCCGCGCACGAGATCGTCGACACGGTAGAGAGCCGCGCGGTATACACACGGACGTGTCGTTGTAGCACCGAGTGTCCCGCTTTTAAAAGTAATTGCCCGGTGTCGAGTCCCAGGATGGCGTTCAACGGAGACGGACCACACTCCAAGAGGCAGCGACTCGAAGAATCTGGTCACAGGGTGAGTAGTTTATATATTAGATTTGGTTGAGGTATTTTTTCAATGAAACGTCGTTCAATTCTTGTCAGACGATATTTCCGTTATTTAAACGTTCGTATACTCGTTCGGTGAACGCGTGCGTTTCGGCGTGTCGCGTGAGATTTACAACCCGTGAGGCGGTTGCGAGCGGAGGGGGGAAAGTCGCCATTTATCCGGTCGCTTTTACCCATATCACCGCCACCGCGTCGAAACAATGGGCGATGCGCGCGCTCTCGAAGGAGATTGTCTCGTGTCGTAGTCGTGTCGTGTATAATACGAAACGCACGTTAGCCTGATACGTGGCTCGTGTTTCGGCAGCAACCTGTTATCTCGTACGTGTGCTCTTTATTCCGTTTTATACGATTCGGAATCATTGACGACGCCGTCGCCACCGTCGTGGAAAGGCTTGCCTGTTCTATCGTCGTTATTGGCGACGGCTGTGCGCGAGGATGCACGTTCAAAACAAACCCCCGTCGGTGAACCGGGGTCGATAATTTCCATCGCGTTATCAGCGCGAGACGAGGCGTTGTCGCGATGCTCTCTGTCTACGATTATCTTGAAGGGCAGTTTCATCTTTATATGGTGACCTATGAGATATTGAGAGAAACAAACCAGATAATAGCAACACTGTGCTCGGACGCGTTGTGGACTTAGAAGTCTTTGGCCGACGGCTCCTATGCGTTTACAAAACATTTGTTTGGAGCGACGTTTTCGTCCTGAAATCGATCCCTAGACATTTCGTTAACGTTATATTAACCGAATGTATCCGGCGAGAGTTTCGAAGGTACGAGAAAATACATTGATACTTATGTATCGGTGATTATTAGAAGATATTCTTTTTTTTATTATAAAACATAATTAATTGTGTTTTTGTTTTTTTAAAATATATAAAAGCATCTGAAAATATTTCTCTATATTCTATTCAAAATATACACATGCTTTTGTTAAATAATCCAGAAAATTCTAAGTGCTTTTTCATTTCGGTAAAAATAATTTTACCTCTTTTTATTGAGAAATGTTTTCAGAGTGGTTATTTTATTCAGTTATAAGATATATACATGCTATATATATTCTACGTTGTATGTGTATGGAGAGTAACACGAAATGCTCAAGCAATAAATCACTATCGTATGAACTATATTTATGGATTCAAATGATGAATTGAAATATAGTCGTTAAATTGTTATTGTACAATATTGGTAACGAAGCACAGACATTTATGAATAAAAATATTATAACACATATAATCGTTATATGTGCAATTATCATTTTTTTCAATCAAATTATTTAACAATATAACAATTTAACACATATTATTCAAATATTATTTATTTTCAATTTTTTTTCTTTTTTAAATTATTTACCTTTATTTATTATACTTTTATTATATTTGTTGATTATTTTTGTACTAATTATTAATGTTACATGTAATTATTTATAGAAAAATGATAAAATTTGACAAATAGGATAGGTCATTGTCACGTGAACTACTTCGTGACCTTCGTTTCACGGTTGCTAGCACTGCATGCTGCTGAGAACACATGCCACAGATGATGTAACGGTAGACGTAATGTGTTACATATGCATGTATGCCAATCATATCTTCACACGATATGCGTCGGCGCATCATGATCAAGATATTGAACTTACGCGCTATTATTTTTCATAAATAATTTCTTTATCTTGTATATTATTTCGTCTGATCAATCGTCTTAATCGATGCTATGGCACAAGTATCGAAATCTTATTCAAAATAATTGCAATTTTTCTGTTTTTTTTTTTTATACAATACGATATTTTTTATTTTTTTTCTTTTTTAAGATAAATTAAACATAAATTTTATATTTAATGTCTTATAGTTCAAGCTATAATACTTCATATATTAATGATATTCATATCTGAAAAAATATTTCAACGTAGCTATTAATTTCATCAGGAATTTGTGAATTAATATCATTTTATTCTTTATTATTCATTCTTCATTCTCATATCATCTAATTCCTCCCAAAACTTTTCATTTTCAACTTCAAAATCTCACTCGAATATAAATCTGACAAAGTAATATAAATATAAAGGAGTAATAAGATCGTATGGTTTGAATTATGAATTATATATATTTGAATTTGTTCTTCTTCGAATATAACCTCGATCGGTTTCATTAAAAAAGGAAAGACTATTGTCTCTAGGAAGAATTCTGTTCCATTTGTCAAGAAATCGATTTGGGAAAGGTCAACGGTACGTAGTATTTCCACGATACAGTAGCAATCCTTGCGGTCAGTCCTATAGGTCAGTATTAAAATATGTATCGACACATTTCCATTCTGTGTCGTATTTTCGTAGTCGATCGTGGTTGATACGAGCACATAGAAATTTCTCGAATAGTTTAAGAAAACATTTACATAACCAATGGTTTTTCGATCAAATTCGTGCTTTAATTTTTCTCTTTCTTATTTCATCATTTTCTTTACGGAAGATTGACGGAGGAAAAAAAAAAAAAGAAAAAACGGTCTTTTTCATTGTTAATGTTGATTAAGTTATACCTCGAGCAGAAATAAATTCACGTAGTTGGAATATTAATGTGCTCCGCTATCTTTTGCATCGTCCTCCATAATGCATATAGATTCTACTCGATTTCTCGATTCTCCAACTCTGGAAGCATGCTCGCTAGTTCAATTTGTCGTTCTTTTTTCGAGACAAATGGGACGCAAATATATATATATACACGCACATTTATATCACTGTCTTTACTGCCTCATGCTTCATGATCAAGAACATTCGAGATCGTTTTCTTTCCATGAAATATTCAACGAGGGAACGAAAGAGAAAAAGAATGCATGCATGTACGTCGCGTTCGCATACGATTTAATCCTATTGTTCTTTGTCACCTGGGTTTCACAAATCTATCTTGTCGCTAGTATTGAGAGCATCCTTAAAGAGCACAGGTGATCGAGAGGATGGAATCTCGACGAGGAGGAGAGCTATTCGAAGAACCGTTATCTTGATCCGTAGTCGGAATCTACGTAGTATCACCAATCTCATTTGTTCCTCTCGGAATAGAATAGAAATCGTTATTAATCACATCGCCGGCTTGGCTAATCTCGTAAAATTCATTCAATCGTCCTTTCCTACGAACGATAATGGTCACCACTAGCTAAAAAACGGGAGTTATATCGAATCGATAACGTCAATGCTAACCCGCCAAGAGTTATTCTCTGTCGAATAGCTCCAAGTGTTACGATCAATGTACACGTTGTGATATTTCCGAGAACGAGAGTAATACGCGTTTAATTCGAGGAAACTGGACGGTATCGTCCGTGAATCAAATAGTTTTAAAAAAAAAGATTTATCGAATTGAGTTGTATCCGATAAATGATGTCCATCGATTCCATCGCTATATATTATCATTTCTCTAGAGATCGCTAGATTTTGTATTTTTTCATCTTATATTAAAGACCCTATCATTGGTCTTGTGTGCGGTTTTTTCTTTTTCTTTTTTCATCCAACGGAAAATCATCCGTTCGTTTGAACTTTGCCAAGGCAAAGTCAAGCCGTCTCTCAAACTTAGCGACACCGTTCGTCCGGATTTCGATGTGTCATGCAGACCGAAATATCTTTAACTCTCCGGTATATCCTTACTCAATAACGCGCACATTCTTTTTCTGTAACTGGAATATCTCACCGAGTATGTGACTCCGTCACTTCGGGTATAAGATATCCGGGATAGAATAAAAAAAAAAAAAAGGAGATCGATATCGCTACCTGTCGATTCCTTGTAGATGCTTCAAAATTGTATCGTGAATTAAATTCATGAGCGTCGTTCGAGAGAGACACTTTATGGTCAGCATAAACTGGCTGCAACGGACCGATATCCTATGAAAATTTAGCTAACGGTCGCTTCCTTTTGATATTTTCGAGCATCTCAAAGATCTCGATACGCTCGTCCGATCATCTTTTCATATTCATTTATCGATTTTTATGTTAATTGTAATATCGTATAAACGATATTGAAAGAATTTTTTCGAAAAATTTAATTTACGATCAATAGATCAATTCTTTCTCGATAGAGTAAAAACCCGGAAAATGCATATAATGTCGAGAGTGTTCGAAAAAAAATTGCTGGAACAAACAAATTGTAATATATTCTTCTCTGTAACCATAGCATTGTGCCGCGATATTCGATTAAATTACTCATTACGAGTTGTATTATATAGATTATTCTGGATATGTGGAATCCAACATCTTCGTGTATCGACGCAAATTGATATTATATAATAGAATAATACCTGACTTGGACGGATAAGAATACTGAATGCATAAATTGTCATCGATCATAATATCATTGTTTCATCAATCATGATTATCGCATGCTACACGAAAATAAACCGTCACCCGATACCGTCGTAATAATGCTGAAAAGGCCATTGTTCAGACGCGTTGCAATTTTCGTCATCGCATTATTTTCGCTCGTGCGATGATTACTAACTCCTACCGTAAATGAAATTTAATTTCTGCGTCCCGTATTCGAAGATTAAAATCCTGTTCGTAAAATTGCGATATTTTAATTTAATTGGAGTGGCTTTTTGCGGAACAATCGGACACGAGTCATTCCACCACCGGTGGAATGTCAATGTTTTCGAAACCAGCTTGTTTTACAAATTGTCTTCCTCGAGTCACGAATTTATAAATTCCTTTTAGCCTGACGTGAAACGTCGTGTCCGACGAATCGAACAATTTCTGTTCTGTATTCCAAGATTATTCCTTGGTAACCGATAGTTCTATCTTATCGAGATTGCCAATATGAGAATCGTTTGCCTCGCAGATAGCTTGATATCCAGAAAGAACGAATGCATACGTACATACTTTTTCTCCTATTCTCCGTTTATTCGCCGCTGTATCCGTGTCCCGAAATAACCGTGTACCGAAATAAAGGCTGGTTCTCGTTAGCGTGAAATTTCTTTGTGGAGCAGAGCTGTCAAAAGACG